GCCACACAGAATCAAGAACACCACGAGGCCCGTGGAGCTGAAGCCCACGTGATCAACCTCACCATCTCCGAATTCTTCCACTCCTATGAGGACATAAGACACGAGGAAGACGAACAACAAGACCCAAACACGAATGAATGGACACTTCAAGAGAGCAAGAAGAGGAGGAGAGTTAGAAGAAAATCAACTTCAAGCTAAGAAGAATACCAAGACAGAAGACCAAGACATTTCCTCCAAACAAGAATACAACACACACAATCAAGCCGACCAAGCACTGAGAAACCATGGCCCAACCCAACACGCACCTGACGCTTGACCTGACGCTAACCTGGCTCTGTCCTGCCGCCTCCCAGCTGCGTCCATATGAGTTGCTGCTGCCTCCAACTTAAACTCCCTCACGCAAGCGGTGTTTAGCCACTGCACCTATCCCCTCCTCCTAAAATTCACTTCAATCCTCCCTTTATCCTTCCCCTGAACCTCCTTCCCCCCTGTCACTAGCATTTTATCTATGTATGTACAGGGAGACCATTCTACTCTGACCTGCAGGACCAGCAAGATCTCTCTCCAGCACCTCACCACCCAGCTTCCTCAGAGAGGTCCTCTCCCTACAGAAACTCAATGGTGACCCCCGGAGTGACCACTCACACAGGATGGAGGAGAAACAGATCACGCTCCCAGTCTTCAAGCAACATGGAAGACTGGCTTACCCACGCAGAGGCAGCTCTCATCGGCTCTACAGCTACTATCTCTACACCGCAGGTTAGACACCCTAGAGCAGCTCTGCTACTCAAAGCAGACAGCTGCTCCTCTTCCTGCCCCAAGCACCACATCCTACCGACCCCAACACACCCGTTCTGCCTCAGACGCCGCCCCCGGCCCAGCAGTGCCCCCTACCGCTCCTCCTGACACGGCCCCTGCTCCTGACGCGGACCCACACACCCCTCTTTTCTCCCTCAGGTATCCCCTGCTACTGTCGTGCACCCTGCTGCTGTCATGGACCCTGCTGCTGTCGTGCACCCTGCTGCTGTCATGGACACTCTTCCTAACGCAGCCCCTTCTCCTGACCCAGGCCCACACATCCCAGCAGGCGCATCTGAGGACTCTGTACCTGTCGCGAAGGAAGCACAACATTCATCGCCTCCTCAACCCTCCTTCTCCCTCTTTTCTCCCACAGATCTCGTGTATCTAGACAGAGTTGCTCCCCCCGTAGCGGCCGGCGTATCCACGCCCTCGCCGTTATGTCCCACATGTGGCATGCACCACCCGTCCTGCCTCACATGTGGCACGCAACTCTGCCAACCTCCAGCCTCCCGCCGCGCCCGGAGGGGAAGGGGAGTATTGTAGTGGACTCCATCCCCTACAAGGGACAACTGACCCCCAGCGCGCCTACCAGCCAATCAGCGTACAGCCAAGTTTAGAAGCTCCAAAAAAGTTGTTGGTAGCGAAAGGCAGAGCGGGGAAGATGACAGAGGAAGGAGCAGGAGGTGAGGAAGGGAATTGTAGTGGGAGAGATAGTGCCGTGGCTTTACACGACTGCGTTTATTTGGTTAGCGCATAGCGCACGTATTTGGTTTTTTGTCTGTGTTGGGTGTGTGATCCTCGGGTCACCACTCCTCCGGATTGTGTTAGTTCAAGTTTAGAAGCTCCAACAACTTTCCCTGAATACGAATTCGCAACCTTTCGATTTACAACAGGTACCTACTTACTGCTAGGTGAACAGGGACCAAGGGGGCTAGGAAGAGTGTCCAAACAACTTCCGCTTGCCCGGGAATCGAACCCGTGACATCTTGCTTGCGAGGCAAGAGCGGTACCGCTTCTACCACAAGCGCCCCTAAGCGTACAGCCAGCGGTGCCGGTAGACCTACTCTCCAGCACGGACGTACACGTAGCAACGCTAGGACCAGAGTGCCAGACCTACTCTCCAGCACGGACGTACACGTAGCAACGCTAGGACCAGAGTGCCAGGCCTCCTCCTCTGTGATTGGCCCTCTCGCTACGCTCACCCCAAATCCTGATCCTCGTAAATTGTATAAATTCGGCCATGCCTGGACTTGAAGAAAACCCTGAACTTCTTTCCCCCCTGTCACTAGCTTTTTTGTATGTATGTACAGGGAAACCATTCTACTCTGACCTGCAGGACCAGCAAGGTCTCTCTCCAGCACCTCAGCACCCAGCGTCCTCAGAGAGCTCCTCGCCCTACAGGAATTCTGAGCAAGCTACACCTCAACTAGTAACTCCTTAGCACTGCACTGTACAACAATATATATACAGAAAACGCATCATGAGTTTCTATTCTACCTCATTCCTGAGTGTGAGATATCTACATGTACGTACGTTGTGTGGCCATACAAAGAGATAATAGACATCTAAAGATAATTGACTACTGGCCACAATACAGTACGCTACAGACCATCCGTTTTTGCCGTCTGATTTCTCAGACCTTGGCAGGAGCATCTGTTAGACGGACCTCCTCATTATGGAAGCCTTGCATCAGTTATAAAGTAAAGCCATCCATTTGTGATATGGCTTCCTGTGAATTGTGATTTTCGCACTAAGGCTCGTCTAAATTAAGGTAATATACTGGATATTTTTATTTCACATTCTTTTCCTGATTTTAGCTCTGTACATAGGTCTCTCGTCATTTTTGTCGGTTTTAAATTGGAGTGCTCTTTCTTTAAATTTTGTGGAAGGTAAATTTTGGTATAATGTTACGTTTTTAATGTATATCACCTGTATTTTTAAAACTTTTTTAAAACTTTTTGTTTTCTAGGCTCTGATGATGGAAAATGATTTTTCGAAACGTTAGTGATTAAAGAAACCCAACTTATTCTATATATATATATATATATATATATATATATATATATATATATATATATATATATATATATATATATATATATATATATATATATATATATATATATATGTAACTGGTCGGAATTTACTGGACCTTTAATTTCTCACTTGACTTGGGGTTTATTAAAGATTATTAGATGGTAATGGCAGTGGAAGCGCCCCTTTGAGAAAAATCCCGAACCAGCACAAGAACACTTAAATCTACTAAACAAAATAAATTGTCCGTGACCCGTGGAAGGATAGCGTCTGTGACTGGGATGAATGAGACACACTGTAAAATTTACACTTATATTCCCTCCAACACTAAAAACACAATCAAATAATGGTACACCAATATGCGCACCTCTTAACCTGAACTTAAAACACTACTCTGGGGAATAAAAGTTATACATGATGTTGAAATTATTAGAAACTCAGGCAATGCCTCATTAGAGAACAATAAGTTTAAAGTATTAAGAAATGTTGCTTGCACACATGAAACAGGCCTTAAGGGCTTTCAACAAAATAATATCCAGCACTGAGAAAATGGTATTAAAAAAATAAGAAATTTATAACTCTACAATGAATAGGCCTTAAGGGCACTCAACAAAATTACATCACCCCAACAGATGCACAATTCCTAACCTAACTTAACCACTACTCTGGGGAACAAAGGTTATACCTGAGATCGGAATTATAAAGGAAAATTAGATGCATTAAAGGAATTAAATCACAGTATCACTCTGGTTCCACTTAGTGACACAAACATTCATAAAACAATACTATCAAAATCATTTAGGAACTATTACTACACACGTCAAGATAATATCAGTAACTGAAAAATGGTATTAACTACACACAAAAATATTGTCACTATTATTGAGATGTTACTGGGTCCACCAATACCCGTGAACCATGCTTCACCCAACTCAACATACACCAGTATTAAGGGAGATAAAATGTTTCTCTAGGTATCCCCTAGATTCCTGGTCTCAGTGTGTGACCATTTATTTACTCAGATAGCCTCAGTGTACTCTCAGTGCGTCCATGGGCGGGAAGAGAGAACGCCCGCAGGTGACCATGGCCAGTAGGCTATACTTCTAGCTGACCGAGGGCACGTGGTGTTGTGCACCCACGTGGTAAGAACTGATCACCCAATGCTGATGCTGGTCCCGTGTCGTTTTAGTTGTCGGGAGCACTGGTTCACTCAAGAGATCCTTTGCTACCCCGCTAACCAGTGACAAGCCTACACTGATCGTTCCAACGGCGACAATCGCCAATCCTCAATCATCAACGGCAGCCTCAAACGGCAGTCAATCTCTGCAGTCAAGTGGGTTCTGACGGAAACCCTGAAATTGACTCACTGTTAGCTCTTAATAACTTTATCACTGCCCTATCTAACCCCTATCTGAGATCGAATGAGACTTACTTGTTATACTGCAATAGCGCAACACAGGTGACTAGACCACGTGACTATTTCTGTGGACGGACGCGCAGGGACGTCCTGTAGGTCCGATCGCTTTCACGTGACTGAGGACCAGCCAGCCTCGCGTCTCTCCAAGGCGCTAGCTTAGGCCTAGTGACATATTTTCTGCCTAACTAATAACTTTCTTGGGACACCCGTAACATTATTCAGACTGGTAAACGATCTATAATAATTTCAAATTCAATAATAGTCCCTTAACTTCATGAATCGCATCATTATTAATTCGGTAAACTACATTCAATATCGTATAGGCCTAGTTCCACAAACTCTCGCACGTAGCGGGAGCCGGTCTTCCCTCAGACGACCTTGAACTCAGTTTGAAATTACACTGAAGTTTCTGAATATTACAATCGATCCCCCTAAAAAAAGACAGCACTGTCCTCATGTGCTGAGAAAAACATGCATACGACCCCTTAAAAAATTGTTCTAAGAAACTGCATCTCACCCCTTTAACGTGCTAAACGCAGCATTCCCATCTTCTCTTCTCCCCTTCTCTCCCCCGCTAACATATATATATATATATATATATATATATATATATATATATATATATATATATATATATATATATATATATATATATATATATATCCTTCAGTATTTCCTTTTGGTTAAAATACTTCAGTCGTAAATGTGGGAATACATTGCAGTATACCAGATAATACATTTCACTTACTTGAGGGTTATTCTTGAAATCACAGCGCAGGTTCTGACTACCTGTACTGGGTGTACAGTATGGTGAGTCGGAAGAGACTACCAGGTGGGAGGTTTGCTCAGTGTTACTCGGCACCCACGCAAGGAAACAGGAAATAAAGTGCAGGTACTTCATCATCGAGGACCTTGTTGCAACTGTCATTGGAAACATCTTTTGAGATCTGAATCTTAGAGAAACAATTCTTCCTAATGCTGGGGAAATGGATAATTGATAACTTTTCGAGAAACTTTGCTCATCCCCGAAATTATCTAAATAATTTACAGGGTATTTAGAATTATTGATAATGCACCTTTGAAAAAGTTAGGTGTGAAGTGGTAAAAAATTATCATGCATACTCTAAATTGTTTACCAATATCTACAGTAGTTTCATGATAAAAAAATCCCAAATATTATTGTCAACACACCATGTAACGTCTAACGTCTTTTGTTCACATTCCCCAATTTTATTATCTCCATTTCAACTTAATACTATTCCTATATTGTTTATACAGTAGTTGTAATGTTACAAATCACATCAGCTGTTTCAATCTTACCTTCTTTTTTATTTATTTTTGGTTACTACAGAATCTTCAGTCTTGAGCAGCAGCACCAAAGAGCACTACACACAGATGCGACTGTTACTGACTGACGGTTCCTCGTGTGTGACAGAGTACAGATAAAGAGATAACACTGTAGGTAACGGTTTTGAATTTTTTTAAGTATAATTTGATACAGGGAGCGGGCAAATATACCCGTCTCCGTCTTGCCTTCCCTACAGATTATTGACTAAATACTGTATTAGTGTATTACGAATTTGTGCGTATTTGTATTGTAGCGTACTGTTGTGGCAGGTTGTCAAATTCTCTTTATATGGTCTAACAACGTAGTGTACGTACACGTAATATATCTAACATTCAGGATTGAGGTAGAATAGAAACTCACAATGCGTTTTCTGTATATATATATATATATATATATATATATATATATATATATATATATATTGTTGTACAGTGCAGTGTTAAGGAGTTACTAGGTCAGGAGAAGCTTGCTCAGAGTTCCTGTTGGGCGAGGAGCTTTCTGAGGGAGCGTGTGGTGAGGAGCTGTTGAGAGATGTTGCTGGTCCGGTAGCCGAGTGTAGAGTGACCTCCCCGATTATGATGATGATGAGGATAATGAAGTAGAGTGGCAAATGACTTTGCACCGGAAAAGGAGAGGAGAGAGAGAAGTAAAACATAGAAACGGGAAGAAAAGTAGGAGGGGTAGATAGCACGTGGGCTGTCCACCTAGCCGAGACGAGTTGATATGTTGGGGTGGTGGCCGCATGCAGCACACGCCCGCCCGCCCAAGGGAGGAAGGTGTATACTGCCAGACTGGGGGTCACTAATGATACGGGGGAATACTTAACTCTAATCTTAATTTCTAAGGGTCGCTGCCACCAGACCCCCTCTGGACAGCATGTAGCTCGTTAGGTAGCGTGCAGAGTGGACTAGGCATTGGGTTAGGTTTTCCATTGATCAGATCGATAAGGGGAAAGAAGGGTGAAACCATAACATGTCTTAATTAATTTATTCCTTATAAAACATACTGGTAAAAAACATACAAATGAATTGGTCTTCCTCAGAAGAACAACGAAAATGTTGGTTACCCAGATGGGCACCAGACGTCTTACATTAATGGCGTGTCATCCACATACTTATTGCATAACAATCTGTGACCACCGTACCTCGGTCATTCCTTCTTACACTACCCTGTAGGGTTTCGTGATATTATGTTGTCTAGCACTCAGGATGGATGGAAACTCTAGGGTGGTGGTTTTCTTATATAATATAAGTTATATGGTAGACAGTCTGGTGCTGGAGATGCCGTGTGGTGAGGAGCTGCTCAGTAGACACGTTCGGTGAGTAGCGTGTTGAAGGAGGTAGATGTGCAGGAGCTTCGTTAGAGAAGATGTTGCCTGTTGCTGGCCTCCAGGTTGAATGAGAACGGGACAGCGAGGAGCTTGCTTGGAGGAGGTGTTGCGTGTTCAGGAACCGAGAGCAGAATAAGAGAGCTGGTTGGTGAGGACGCTCAGAGAAGGACAGCTGGTGGGTCGCCATGCTCGCCGGCGGGAGCGAGGACCGCCAGGCAGGCGGAGGAGAAGCGAGGGCCGCCAGGCAGCGGCGGAGGAGGAGGTGTTGCGTGTTCAGGAACCGAGGCCAGAATGAATCTCAATGGAGAGACAGAGCTTATATACACAGCAGCCGGAAGTAAACCCGTGGGAACTCGCCGGTTTCTCGACTCCGTTGCTAGGGAAGACGTAGCAGGTGGCTGGTTGCTAGGATACTGTGGCATCTGGTGACGCGGATACGCAGTTGTAGGGGAGACGTCCACTACAATACTACCCCTTCCCTCCAGGCGGTGTAGGAGACTTGTTGTCTGTAGAGTTGCTTAGCACATGTGAGGCAGAACGGGCGGTGCATGCCTCATGTGAGACAACGGCGATGGCGTGGATGAGCCTGTCGCTGGATACAACTGTCTAGATACACACTATCTGTGGGAGAAGAGAGGGGGAAAAAGGGTGTGTGGAGGCGATGAATGTTGTGCTTCCCTCATGACAGGTACAGAGTCGTCAGATGCGCCTGCTGGGGTGTGTGGGCCTGGGTCAGGAGCAGGGGCTGCGTCAGCAGAAGCGGATGAGGGCTCGTGACAGCAGCTGGGTCCACGACAGCAGCAGGGTGCAGGACATTAGCAGGGAGTACCTGAGGGAGAAAAGAGGGGTGTGTGGGTCCGCACTCAGGAACAGAGGCCGCGTCAGGGGCGGCAGGGGTTACTACTGGGCCGGGGTCGGCGTCTGAGGCAGGACGGTGTGCTGGGGTCGTCAGATGCGCCTGCTGGGGTGTGTGGGCCTGGGTCAGGAGCAGGGGCTGCGTCAGCAGAAGCGGATGAGGGCTCGTGACAGCAGCTGGGTCCACGACAGCAGCAGGGTGCAGGACATTAGCAGGGAGTACCTGAGGGAGAAAAGAGGGGTGTGTGGGTCCGCACTCAGGAACAGAGGCCGCGTCAGGGGCGGCAGGGGTTACTGCTGGGCCGGGGTCGGCGTCTGAGGCAGGACGGGTGTGCTGGGGTCGGTAGGATGTGGTGCTTGGGGCAGGAAGAGGAGCTGGTGTCTGCTTAGAGTAGCAGAGCTGCTTCTGTGTGGATAAGCCAGTCTTCCATGCTGCTTGAAGACTGGGAGCGTGATCAGTTTCTCCTCCATCCTGTGTGAGTGCGAATCTCCGGGAGTCACCATTTGTAGGGTTTCGTGATATTATGTTGTCTAGCACTCAGGATGGATGGAAACTCTAAGGTGGTGGTTTTCTTATATAATATAAGTTATATGGTAGACAGTCTGGTGCTGGAGATGCCGTGTGGTGAGGAGCTGCTCAGTAGACACGTTCGGTGAGTAGCGTGTTGAAGGAGGTAGATGTGCAGGAGCTTCGTTAGAGAAGATGTTGCCTGTTGCTGGCCTCCTGGTTGAATGAAAGCTGGACAGCGAGGAGCTTGCTTGGAGGAGGTGTTGCGTGTTCAGGAACGTAGAGTAGAATAAGAGAGCTGGTTGGTGAGGACGCTCAGAGAAGTACAGCTGGTGGGTCGCCATGCTCGCCGGCGGGAGCGAGGACCGCCAGGCAGGCGGAGGAGAAGCGAGGGCCGCCAGGCAGCGGCGGAGGAGGAGGTGTTGCGTGTTCAGGAACCGAGGCCAGAATGAATCTTAATGGAGAGACAGAGCTTATATACACAGCAGCCGGAAGTAAAACCCGTGGGAACTCGCCGGTTTCTCGACTCCGTTGCTAGGGAAGATGTAGCAGGTGGCTGGTTGCTAGGATACTGTGGCATCTGGTGACGCGGATACGCAGTTGTAGGGGAGACGTCCACTACAACCCCTTAACACATCAGACTGCTCCACCTGCATGGAATATAGCACCGTCGGTTATCATACATAGTAGCACCCTCTCAACACACCCGTTACCCTCCACACCTGCAGGTATGGGGCTCCTTGTAATTTCTAGGTATACCTAACAGGCACCTCATTCGCACACCACCCTTGGTGGGTAGAGACGAGGGCTACACCAAGAGACATACCAGTACTATTTCTACGCCTGGTATTATAGGTCGCTCCAAGTGACAACCGCGGAGTTTCTCAAGCGTTTCCTTATTTGTTCTACTCATTTGGGGTGGTGTGCTGGGGATCCACAGGTTCACAGTGGAAGTGCATGACCACTGTGGTGTGGCCTTCACAGTGAGGTCATGGCTGACGCCCGGTAGGCGCTCAGAACGCGTCGTCCTGTATTGGGAGAAGTCGAGGCATCACTGAGAATTTTTTTTTTTTTAAGGGAATTAGCCCACCCGGGCACAGGTCAAACGACCCACAACGGAGCCTGGGGGGCGAAAAAAAAGAACGGAAAGAAATTGAAAATATAGAAAAAAAGGTTATACTGTATTAATCTACACCACGAAGATGCCGGAAAACCAGCTTTTTAAAGTGAGACAGATTGTAAGAGCATGGAAACACAGAAGAAGGCAGAGCATTCCGCAGTTTGGCTGTGTGAGGAAAGAAGGAGGTACTATAACGGGTTATTCTCGTGTGACCGACATCCACAGAGAAATGGTGGGCACCGCGGGCAAGACGTGTGTTATGAACCCACGGCCTTGCCAGCGGTACACAGGATGCCACATCCACTGAACATTGCCCGTTAAAGTACCTGTAAAAGAGAGAGAGTGAAGCAACATTGCGGCGAAGAGAAAGGGGAGAGAGATTGTCGACTAAAGGAGGAGAGTTAATAAGACGAAATGCCTTTGATTCCACCCTATCTAATAGTTGGACAGAAGAAGAGCCACCCCAGATATGAGAGCAGTACTCCAAGTTAGGACGAATGAATCCCTTATATACTTGGAGCAACTGCTCAGGAGTGAAGTAGCTGCAGCATCTGTACAGCATTCCCAACTTTCGGAAGGCAGCTTTAGTTATACAGGTATTAAGGATGTGTGATTTCCGGGACATATTGGAGGAAATGGTGAGGCCTAACATATTTATTTCAGAATTTGGGAGGATGATAGCGTCCTGAAATGCAATTGGTGGGAGATCGTCTACTTTACCAAGTGTAATTGGTAAATATTGAGTTTTGTTACTATTGAACTTAACCAAGTTTGTATCTCCCCATTCAGAGATGCTGCACAGATCCACGTTGATAGAAGTAATGATATCAGTTCTAGAAACAGATCTAGTTTGAGAGTTAGGAGGAAGGGAAAAATGTGAGGAAGAGTGAAGAGTAGAATCATCGGCGTAAGAATGGATAGAATTAGTTGTAGTGTGAAGTAAATCATTGATAAAAAGAAGAAAGAGAGTTGGTGAAAGAATAGAACCCTGTGGGACGCCACTATTGGTAGAGAAAGAGCGAGAAATCGATCCCTCGACAACAACTGCCATGGATCGATTCTCAAGGAAGCTAGAGATGAGAGAACAAAGTGGGGGAGAGAAACCAAAAGAGGGAAGTTTAGATAGCAAAGACGTGTGCCATACCAAAGATGGGTGCAATAGGAGAGCAGATCACCAGTAGATCTCGCCTGGCGAAAGCCATACTGGTGATCCGACAAAAGAGAAAGGCGTTCAAGGTGACGGAGAAAATGGGAGTTCAAGATAGTTTCGAAAATCTTAGAGAGGGATGAAGTTAGGGCAATGGGGCGATAGTTAGA